TTTGTGGTTTGCTTTACTTAATAAATGTGTCTTGGAGATCTTTACATGTCAGTATGTACAGATCTAACTCACTCTTTTTTTTTTTTTAAAGATTTTATTTATTTATTTGACAGACAGAGATCACATGTAGGCAGAGAGAGAGAGAGAGAGAGAGGAGAAGCAGGCTCTCCACCGAGCAGAGAGTCCGATGCGGGGCTCGATCCCAGGACCCTGAGATCATGACCTGAGCCGAAGGCAGAGGCTTTAACCCACTGAGCCACCCAGGTGCCCCCTAACTCACTCTTTAATGGCCTTAAAAGTATTTCGTTTTTGGGGCGCCTGGGTGGCTTAGTGGGTTAAAACCTCTGCCTTCAGCTCAGGTCATAATCTCAGGGTCCTGGGATCAAGCCCCGCATCAGGCTCTCTGCTCGGCAAGGGGCCTGCTTCCTCCTCTCTCTCTCTCTGCCTGCCTCTCTGTCTACTTGTGATCTCTCTATGTCAAATAAATAAATAAAATCTTTTTAAAAAAATGTATTTCGTTGTATTGATACACCATATTTCTTCAAACTCTACTGAACCATGGGAGTTGATTGCAATTTTTTTGCTATGATGAATAGTGTCTTCCTTATATATGCATCCATGCACTTTTGTGTATTTTTATTGCAAAAATTTCTACCAGTGGAATTGCTGTGTCAGAGTCACGAGTCTTTTAATTCTATATTGCCAAACTACTCCAGAGAGGTGGTACATGTTTATCCTTACGCGAACCAGTATGAGACTCCTAAATCAGCTCTCTGACTTTCTCTGCCGTCTCAGCTGGAGAAACGACTGGAGGAGTGGTTGGGGAAGACATTACCTGGCAGTGACTGGACACCCAATGCCCGGTTCATTATTCGTTCTTGGCTTCGGGATGGCCTCAAGCCACGCTGCATAACCCGAGATCTCAAATGGGGAACCCCTGTGCCCTTAGAAGGCTTTGAGGACAAGGTAAAAACCCTATGCTTTATTCATATGTCCTATTATTCTGCCTTTTGGTTGAGACCCTGAGCTAGTAGAATAGACTGTTGATTATGTCTTGCTTCATTTGGAAACTGGGTTGGTGAGGTTCTCCCAGTGTTCCTTCATCCTAGTCTCTCTCCTTCCTCCTGGCCCTCCAGGTATTCTATGTCTGGTTTGATGCCACTATTGGCTACTTGTCCATCACAGCCAACTACACAGACCAGTGGGAGAGATGGTGGAAGAACCCAGAACAAGTGAGTCCTTGGTTACCCTGTCCATGGGAAGGGTGTGTGCAGTGGGTGGTTAGGGGTGGATATCTGATCTTTCTTGGGCCTTTGAAAAAGATCTCAGGAGTTTTGTTTCCCAACTGTATTCTGTAGGTGAACCTGTATCAGTTCATGGCCAAAGACAATGTTCCCTTCCACGGCTTAGTTTTTCCATGTTCAGCTTTAGGAGCTGAGGACAACTATACCTTGGTCAGCCACCTCATTGCTACAGGTACCCTGGAAGACTGAAGATGGGGGGATTCCTAGGGAATGAGGGCTGAGGCTTTCCAGAATGAAGATCCTGGAGAGGTCCTCGATCTTGAGTTTGGAGGTGAAATGATATAGGAAGTTAGAACATGAGAACTTAACCCAGAAGAAGGGAACAAGAACCTAAAGAAAGCATAAGTCTGGGGCGCCTGGGTGGCTCAGTGGGTTAAGCCGCTGCCTTCGGCTCAGGTCATGATCTCAGGGTCCTGGGATCGAGCCCCGCATCGGGCTCTCTGCTCAGCAGGGAGCCTGCTTCCTCCTCTCTCTCTACCTGCCTCTCTGCCTGCTTGTGATCTCTCTCTGTCAAATAAATAAATAAAATCTTTAAAAAAAAAAAAAGAAAGCATAAGTCTGAGGCTAAAATTCTGTAATGGGTAAAAGCAAAGGGAAAAAAGTCAAAAATGGAGAGGAAGAGATCCTCAAGTTCTTTGCAGGCCTGCTACTCAAGAAATGTTGCTGGACACCCATAGTTGAGGTTGAGGGAGAGGAGGAGTTAGTGGGTCAGAGAGGGAAAGGTGTGATTTGAGCACATGGTTCTCATTCTACTTCTCTGTCCAGAGTACCTGAATTATGAGGATGGGAAATTCTCCAAGAGCCGGGGTGTGGGAGTGTTTGGTGACATGGCCCAGGACACAGGGATCCCTGCTGACATCTGGCGCTTCTATCTGCTCTACATTCGGCCTGAGGGCCAGGACAGTGCCTTCTCTTGGACAGACATGTTGCTCAAGAATAACTCTGAACTGCTTAACAACCTGGGCAACTTCATCAACAGGTGGGACTTGGGTGGGGGGTACGTCAGAGTTAGTGGATGAGCTGGAGGCAGGGCAGGGTGGAGTGGTGGCTAGCTCTGCTCCACTAGGTGGGAGACATGGGAGAGATGGGGGTGACGAGGCGGGAATGAGCAGGATCTGTGAGTGATTGGGTGGACAATGTGCAAAGTGGATTTCTAGCAAATTGTACCCGATCCTGGAACATAGTAGGATACGTTTGCTTGGGTGAAGTCAGTTGTATGGGTGTGCTTTAGCAAAGTTGGTCACAAAGTGAATTTTTGCAAACTGGTTTCATTTTAATATTCTTTATAGAATTGGAAATGTGTTCTCTCCTAGCAAAAAAATTCACTTGCAGACCGTTAGACGAGTTTGGCCGAAGAAAAGGGTTATTTTAGTGTAGAGGTGGGAGACGCTTCCTGTACTTTGGGGGTTTTGTTACTTGAGGCTCACACTCCATCAGCAGCCCCACCTCTGCTCTTCTGCTGGCTGGCTCCGATCCTCCGCGGCCCCCGCCCTCTCACATCTGGCTGTCAGCCGTGTTGCGCAGACGGTCTCTGAGAGTATTGGATAGCAAATTATCTGTATTTCAACTTCATCGTTCTTTGTATCTCTTTCTTAAAAATCAGATGGACATTTCTTCACTTTATCAGGTTTCTTATTCTTAGTGGGGAGAGAGAACAAGGAATAGATTTAAGCTTTGCCTTCTAACTGGAGGGAGCCAGGAGGCATCCGTCCTGGGAGAATGGAGAATTAGGAAAATCAGGTCAGATTTCTAGGAGGAGACTGAGCAGTAATTCCTCTTTTCTCTTCCCTCTCTTTCCTTACTCCCCTCCCAGAGCTGGGATGTTTGTGTCTAAGTTTTTTGGGGGTTACGTGCCAGAGATGGTGCTTACTTCGGATGATCGGCGCCTGGTGGCACACGTCACCCTGGAACTCCAGCACTACCACCAGCTGCTGGAGAAGGTCCGGTAAGCAAGCAGGCATTTGGGTCTCATCTCCCCGGAGCTGTGCCAGCCGGTGAGAGCCCCCCGCTGGTCACTCTCAGGCTTTACACCATGGCCTGGCCCCTCCCTTCCCAGGATCCGGGAGGCCCTCCGCAGTATCCTCACCATCTCTCGCCATGGCAACCAGTACATTCAGGTGAATGAGCCTTGGAAGCGGATTAAAGGCAGTGAGGCTGACAGGTAAGTTTGGCTACAGGAATAACATGGCAGTGGGCCATGTCCTCCTGGAAAGTCTAACGTCTCTTCTTTTGCAGGCAGCGGGCCGGGACCGTGACAGGCCTGGCAGTGAACATAGCTGCCTTGTTGTCCGTCATGCTGCAGCCTTACATGCCCACGGTCAGTGCCACCATCCAGGCCCAGCTGCAGCTGCCACTGCCAGCTTGCAGCATCCTGATCACAAACTTCCTGTGCACCTTACCGGCCGGACACCAGATTGGCACAGTAGGTCCAAGGGCTGGAGGGGCTGGCCTCTGAGCATCCCTGCCTTTGCCATGCAGCCTTTGGGCTGAGGTCAGAGAACTTGGACATAGGACTCTCACAGCTGTTCTCTGAACCCTTACCCCCCGCCTCCCCACTCTGCACTTACACTTGTTTCTGATAGAAAGTCCTTGGTATCGCTCACAAGCCCAGTATCAGCTAGCCCATGTGCCATCATCGCTCTTCACGCCAGAGCTCAGGACCTGGCACGTAAACTAATTGGTCTACGGTAGATGTTTGGAAGAAACATCACGGTCCCCTGGTCTCCATAATGCCAATAGGCAGTAAGCAGGGAGAATACAGGATAGCCGTTTCCCCTTTGACACAAGAGGATAAAGTCCACCTCTGTACCCTTGTGTCAGCCCAGCATCCTCAGTCTTAGACCTTACTGATAGTTTGGGCTTTCAGAGTGCGTGCCAGTGCCTTATCTGGATTCTTTACTCAAGTCAGCAGCTATCTGCTCATTTGTTTCTTCTAAAACTACATATGTAGAGTCCCGGAATGCCAGTGACTGGGGACATAGAGGCCCTCTGTACGGTCTGGCAGGGTTTCTCCCTCATCAGTGAATGATTATGGAATTCTTTCTTCACAGGTCAGTCCCTTATTCCAAAAACTGGAAAATGACCAGATTGAAAGTTTGAGGCAGCGCTTTGGCGGAGGCCAGGTGAGAAAGCCAGACTGCACTGTCGCCCCGGCAAGAGCCACAGTGTCCGGGTCCCCAAGTAGCTCTCAGTACTCTCCCTCTTCTGGGCCTGCTGCTTCCTTCCTGGGAGTTAGCAGCAAGAGCCCTTGCAGTGAAATGTCATCAACCCCCCGCCCCCGGCTGTGAGGTGAAACTCGAGGCCAGGGCTGTTTACAGAGCAGATGCTAACTGTTGTCCTTCTCCAGGCCCGAGTGCCCCCCATGCCAGCTGTTGTAGAGGCTGCGGCCACAGCTGCTCCGCAGCAGGTACAAGTGCTCATGGATGAAGTGACAAGACAGGTACTCGGCGGAAGCCCTGAGGGATTGCGGAAACACTGACTCCTCAAAAACTTCTCTCTGGTCTCACTACTCTTCTTGCCCCACCTGCTCTGCTCTTAGGGCAACATCGTCCGAGAACTGAAAGCGCAGAAGGCAGACAAGAACCAGGTTGCTGCTGAGGTGGCTAAGCTCTTGGATCTGAAGAAACAGTTGGCTCTAGCTGAGGGGAAACCCCTTGAAACCCCTAAAGGCAAGAAGAAAAAGTGAAAGAGCCTGGCTCATAGAAAGTTACTTTAATGGATATGGACAGTAATAAATAAATTTACAATCTCTATATACATGCTGAGACCCTTTCCTGTTGTCTACCCCAAGCTTTCCCGCCTCCTGAATAGATGGGGTTGAGGGTCACATCATTGGCACTGGAGAAAGATGGTCAGCACCCACTTTTGTGAAAGGTAGGTGGTGGCCCGAGGGGGAAGTGATGGTCCCAACTCTTCATGCTTGGTGCAGATTAACCATTCGGTCAATGAGAGCTCGGCGGGTCGCCTCTACCTCCCTGGTCAGGCGCTCGATTTCCTGCTTGAGTCGTTCATTCTCTTCAGCTAGCTGTGCCACTTTCCTTTCATTCTCTTGTTCTTTCTCCTTCATGCGTTGCTTTCCAGCCACAGCTAGGGACTGATCACTCTGTTTCCGCTTCCTGGTTCTTCTCTGGTCTTCCTCCTCTTCCTCCTGAGCCAGGGAGCTCTGACTGGAATCTGGAGAGCGAGGGCTCTGGGAGCTGTTTGTGACCTCGGCTGGTCCTGGCTCCTCAGTCAGCCAAGCCAGAGAGGCGGGGTCAAGAGTGGTGAAGGTTTTTGATTCTTCCTTCAAGGGAACGAGGAAAGGTAGGATAGGTATTAGTTGAGAAGGGAAGGGCAATGCCCCCTGCCCAGCTTTAGTCATCACATTCTCACCTCCTTGTTTCCAGAGGGGGAAATGTAGGTACCCCCATTTTCATCTGAGGACAGCACTTCTTGCAGGTCCTCATACCAGGCTTCCAGCTCCCAGCTGGACAGTGTCCCGAAGGAAAAAGGCAAGGACTCAGCTGCCATCTCTGCAGTTGGATCAGGTTCTGGAAAAGGACATACTCAGGATGAGGGGTCCGGTGGGAGAGGAACAACTCCATAAAGCAATCAGATAGTCTATATAGGTTGGTAGACTGGCCTGGTACCTGTTTGCAGATACAGTTTTATTGGAACATAACTACATTCATTTATTTACATATTGTTTATGGCTGCCTTCATGCCGTAAGAGTGGAGCCCTCAGCATCCAAAATATTTACTGTTTGGCCCTTTCAAATGTATCAATTGGTCAGTACCAATATTCCCTCTTTGCTGCTTTTGCCTGGCATTTGAAGCAGCATGGGTCTACCACATACATTCTTATGGGATCCTGGTAAAAGTCCTGAGCCTCCCTTGAGGAACTCTGTTGGTAGTTTCCAGGGGGCAATTATCAGACCATCTTGTGTTCCTTTCTCCTCCTGTGTGGGGAGTCCTCTGGGTGAGTCTAATCTTGATGGGGACTGAGGTGTGGTAAGACCAAAAGATTAACTCTGTTGGGGCTGACTGCTCACTCAGCCAGCTTTCAATTAGGACATGCTCTAAGAATAGTGATTTGGTCACCTAGATAGGGGCAGGCCAGGAAGATGGATGTGCCTGTCAGCAAATGTCTGCTCAGATTCAAATCCTCCTCTCCGGTTTTCTTTAGCTGTTTTCATAACTTAGTAGGGCCCCAGTACAGGGACCTTAAGCAGCATCTCTTAGGAATTGGTTTTGGGAAAGGGATGGTAAAATTACCTGCTCTCAAGTGTGGTGATGTATGAAGATACACTTCCTTCTGGAACACTGTGGGGATCAAAGATAGATGTTAGCCATTTTTGGAAGGAGAGAGGCAGTTCTTTTTATTTCCGGCCTCCTGCTGGTCTTTCCTCACTTCCTGTCTTTGAGGGTGTGCACAGTCAGTGGTCCCTGCAGCCATTTCCAAGGACAGAGGAGAGCCTGACCTTTATTTTTAGTGGCTGACATTTGTAGTCCCAATTACATAATAGAAAAGTCATGGCCAACTCCATGGCTTCAAGGTAGGCCTCAAAACTGCCAGGGTAAGGACCAGACTACAGGGAAGGGAACAAATCAAGTGGTATTTCTCTAATTCCACTCATACCCTGACATACTGTAAATGCACATTTCCAGTTTCAGTGTCTCCTGGGACCTCCGACTGTGTTACATAATTGCTTATTTGAATTTCCTTTTGGGTATCTAAAAGGCGTCTCAGATTTAATATGTCCAAAGACAAATTCTGGTCATCTTCCCTTCCATGGTCTTCTCCAGGTCAGTAAATCAGTAAATGGCAACTCTACTTGCTTAAGCCAAAAGCCTTAGCACTGTCCCTGATTCCTCATTCACACCCCACAAGTCAAACCACCAGCTAAATTTTAAAATTTATTCTTCAAAAACCCACAACCCAGTTGCATTGTTTTCAATCTGGATCAAGTTACTATCCTCTCCGTTGGATTACCCAGTTTCTGCTCTTGCCACACCTCCCCAAGTCCGTTCCCAAAAAAAAGCCAGAATGAGCCTTTAAAAACTTGTCAGGTCCTGTCATTCTGTTCAAAACCCTTCAATGACTTCCAATTTCACAAATATTAAAGGCTAAGGTACTTAAAATGGCTTCACAGACCTCACACAATCTACTCTTCTCATTGACCACTCTCCCCCTTAACTCACTCTAGTCCAGCCACCTGGCCTCCTGTTCCTTCCCGTTCCCATGCTCCCTACCTAGGACCTCTGTTCTTGCTGTTCCTTCTCCTGGAAAGCTCTTCCTTTCACATACCTGCGCAGCTTACTCCCTTGCCTCTTTTTAGATCTTTTATTTTTTTTATTTTTTTTTTTTCTTAAAGATTTTTTTATTTATTTGTCAGAGAGAGAGGGAGAGAGAGCGAGCACAGGCAGACAGAATGGCAGGCAGAGGCAGAGGGAGAAGCAGGCTCCCCGCCAAGCAAGGAGCCCGATGTGGGACTCGATCCCAGGACGCTGGGATCATGACCTGAGCCGAAGGCAGCTGCTTAACCAACTGAGCCACCCAGGTGTCCCTCTTTTTAGATCTTTTAAATGTCACCTCATTTAAATGTGAGAGAATCCCTAGCCTTCCAAGGTAAAACTGTAACCCCACCCTGAGCATTGGCTACCCTTCCATGCTTTGGTTTTCTCCACTGCACTTGTATTTGTTCACCGTGAACCTTTTCCCACTGAAATGTAAGCTCTGCTAGAGCAGAGATTTTCTTGTTCATGGATATATCCTGGACCTGAAATGCATGGCACACAGTAGGTGCATGATAAGTAATTTGTAAGGAAAGCACGGACAAATTCTCCCTGGTCTTTTACAGGGAAGGGAGGAGGAAGCCCAGAAGCCAGAGCAGCAGCTACTTATCCCTAGGGACTGGAGATGCAATATCGCCCAGAGTGTTTCTCTTCAGGGCTGTCCTCCCTGGGGAACCCTCCTTGCCTTCCAGTGCGTGGGATGCTGCTTTCATCAGCACTGGAGTCCCAGACCAGAGGGCTGCAAAGCCAAACAGGGGGCTGGCCTGATGCAATGGTTACACACACAGATTAGCTGGAGACTGGACAGGGGGAAAGAGGCAGGGACCTATCTCAGGGGAAGGACTGTACACTGGGGAGACCCCAAATGGCTTCCCACACTTGAGAAATCCAGGATGCTCTCTTGTGCAGGAGGCCCAAGGACCTCTGGGGTAATGGGAAAACCCATCTCCGCTCCCTATCCATCGGCACCCCTCCCCTCAGTCTTGGGTCAGTCCCCTTAAGGTTCTCTTCTTCATTAGGGTGTGGAATGGCTGTCCTGTGGAGGATCCAGGAGCCCTAGCTATCGACGTGGCCACTCTGGCCCTGAGACGCTAGGGCTGAGACAGGACTTGAGGGTGGGGTAGGGGGTAGTGGCGTTTAGTGGTAAACGGGCGTCAGCGTCGTGAACTATGGTCTTCCAGGCCTCTCCGGCGTGGGGGAGTGTCCTGCTGCTCCGCCTCCCACCGGACAGGCCCAACGAGGAGGGCTGGGGTCAGCAAGGGAAGATGATAAACCTCCCGAGGGCATCCGGACCCACGAGCAAGGCCCATGCTCCGGGCAGGGGTGGTGTGACACTATCGTCCAAAGGAAGAGAGGTCTGTGAGCACCACTCCTGAATAAAGGATGCTCCACATCCCTCCCTCGGACTGTCGCTGACTTCATCGGGGAAGGGGTGGGGCCACATCCTAAAAAGCATATGCCCCAACTTTGAGGGGCCAGCCAGTGTTCCCCAAGAATAGGAGGGTAAAAAGTAGATGGGGGAATCAGTACTCGCCTCTCTCCTCAGGTTCCGGATCTGATTCTGGCTCTGTGGCTGCCACCCGCTCATCTTCAACATGATATTACCTGCGTCTCAGACTCAAATCTCTGACCTCGGTAGCTCCGAGCACTGATCTTTTAAGAAGGTTTTGCCCTCCTCTCAGGGGCGGGTCCAGAAGCTTACCAGTCAGAACGCGGCACGCCGGCGCCGGCCCCGCCTCACCCCTTACATCCGCCACTCAGAAGCCCGCGCGGCACCGCCCCCATCGCTCCCTCCTGCTCGGTGGTAGACGCTGTGTTGGACCCGGAAGTGGCTTTGGGTCACGAGGCTTCGCGGAGGAGGTGAGTGAGTCATGCGCGCGCGCGAAGGGGAGAGCAGGAGGGGGAGGGGAGGAAAGGGGGGCGGGGATGATGCAATGTTTGGCAACCGGTGTCTCCGCGCGCACGCGCAGGGGACTACAAGGGTGGTGGGAGGCGCGGGGGTTGGTGGTGGTGTAGGGGAGAGGAGAGGGCGGGGCGCCAGCGCCCGGCTCCCAACGGCCTCAACGGCTATCAACTGTGGCTGCCCCTTTGCTGCCTGCGAAGCCTCAGGGCAGCTTGTCTTGCTCAGGAGTTCTTATTCCGCCCACCTGGCATTAGCCCCTGTTGCACCTTCTCCATAAGGGACTCCCATTTTGCTTGGTTCCCTCCCATTTAATGGGCACAAGGTCTTTTAAACCAACCTCCTTTGAAAGTTTGCATCCAGCCACAGGACTGCCTAACGTCTTCTCGAGTATTCTTCTCGAAAATCTCGAGGTCTTCTCTTTTAGCCCCTTAAATCCCCCAGAAGGGACCGAGGAACTTGAATACTTTTGATAGTCATTTTCAGCTCCTAGCAGAAAAGCACCCTTAACTTCTTTGTGAAGTTTCTAATGCGCCCTCAGCATGTCAGAATTCATGTCCCTTGCTCAGTGGATGCGATTCGCACTGTTTCCCCACCCGTCATCCCCCGCACGCCACGGTGTGCTCAGGTGCTCTTCACCAAAACATCAAGACCCGCCCTTTTCACCGGACCAGACGCGCAAGCCCTGTGACTCCCTGCTGTGAGGAGCCAGTGCTCAAGCCTCTTGCCTACTAGGTGCTTGGGCTGCATTAGCGCTCTGGGACATTGGGTGCACTTGCGCGCACAACTGCCTTGGACTGGGTTGTCAGGAGCCCAGATTCTAGCCTCACCTGCCCCCCACTTGCCCAGGGATCCTAGGCCAGCCACCTAATTTCTCTCTGCTTCAACCGTTCTTCTTTGTAAATAAAAGGTAATGAGTTGTGAAGGTAAAATGAGAGAAGTATGAACTTGGAGGGTGCTTCAACAAAAGTGAAAAGCACCACTTAAAATGCAAAGTATTAAAAAAATGCAAAGTATTTTTCTTGAGCCATTAGGTAGAAAAAAGATGTCATGCGGCGGCCGGTTACATATACTGTCATACCCTCGTGGGGGCAGCCAGAATTAAATAGTATCTGTCACAAGGTCGGTTGTGGCTGGAAGGCAGGTTTAGGTGGTGGTGTGACAGTGACAGGTCCTTGGCTAGGCCTGCTCCGTTACTCCAGACCTCCATTTCCCCTTCTGTAAATGGGGGTGGGGGGTGCGTTGGACCAGATGGTCTCTCCTGGCCCGAAGACATGACCAGGTTGTCAGTGACAGGCAAAGGTCATGTGACTTGACAGGCTGAGGTCGTGTTGTGACATGTTGACCTGGGGAGGCGGGTCAAGTCCCAGCACACTAGCCAGGAAGCCTTTGGGGCGGGGCTGTGCAAGTCGCGACTTTCATCTTTCGGGGCCGGCCCCTCCCGGACCTGACATTCCTGGCTCCCCCAACAGATTGTGGCTTTGGAAGGGGCCCCTCCCCGGGGAGGGCTAGGATTGGCCACCAGTGGCCTGGGAAGAGGCTCAGATCCTTCCGCGGAGGGCGGGGGGGGGGGCCGCGTGGGGTGTTTGTTCTCTTGGGGATTAATGGGGGGTTGTGGGGGAGGGGTAGGCGCGCTCCCGCATGCGCACTGCGGCCCCTCCTGTTGGCTCGTCGTTGTCCGCTGGGCGGGGGCCCGGCCCCGCCCCTCTCCCGTCCGGGCAGCGGCGGCGGCGGCGGCGGCGGCGGCTGCGGCGGCGGCGGCGGCAGCGACGACGGCGGCGGCAGCAGCCTGCGCGGTGCCTTCTGGGAACGGAATCCCCAGGGCTGCCCCTGGCCCCCATGGCGCATGCGCGGGAGGCCGCTCGGTGATCCGCGGCGGCGGCGGCAGCGCTTCCTGCTAGGACCGGCCGGGGCCGTACCGGAGGCTCGGGCTCCACCGACCCTCCTCCCCCTCCCTCCCACTCACCCTCTGGGCCGCGACTGCGCAGGGCGGGGCCGGCCGAACCATGGGCCGCGGTGAGTGCAGGGCCCGGCCCCCCCCCCCCACACCCGCCCCTCCCCCTCCCCTCCCCTCCCCTCCCCTCCAGTCCCTACCCTCTGCCCCCTCCGCGTCCTCTCGGCCCCTTTCCCTGGCCCCATCCCCCCTCCCCCGCCCTCACCTGCCCCCGCCGTTTCTCCCTCTCAATGCTTGACTTTTGCCTTCTTCACCTCCCTCCCCACAGTGCTTCGCCCACCCTCCGCCCGCCCTCTCCCCAAGTTCCTTCCTACTTCGTGCGCCTTCCCCTCCTCCCCAAGCTGAGGGAAGCAGCCTGGGTGACAGGGCGCCTTGTTATGAGAGGGAAAGTTTAGAAGCCGCCAGTGTGGGGTGGGAGCGATGGTGAGGTTGGAGAGGATACTTGCAGGGTTGGGGGGGCGTCCCCACATATCAGAGGAGAGTCCCTTTTGGAGCCAGTCTGAAGCCAGTGGGGTAGGAGGTGCTGAATCCCCATGCTGAGGCTTGGGGAGAAATCAGGAGCTTCACAAGACTCTGGGAAAAGACAGCTATAATTCCAACCTTTTTTAAGAAAATCCAAATGAACTGGATCAGTGATTGTCTAATGGAGCAGGCATGGGGGGTTCCGTTGGTACCACCCCAGAGGGCAGTTGGGCAATTGCCTGGTGACCTGTGGGGCAATCTGTACTTTTTATATGATCTTCCTGGGAGTAGGGAACAGCAGGGGGCCAGACTCTGGGAAGCTTCCTAGTGTCTTGGCATTATGGGAATTTGCCTGTACTCCAGGGTGAAGTCTTCTGTCTCTGATGGGACAAAAGGGCCTTGCCCTTTATGTCTAGGGATTGGGCTCTGATTCCCTGGTCCCTGGGAGTTGAGGCTTTGATCCTCTGCTTCCTAGGGCCTGTATATGGAAAGGATGGTTGTGGACTCAGCCAGCAGATCCCTGAGATCTGTGTGTGCACTTACCTCAGAGGGTTAAGGATCTTTCCCTTGAGAGTGTCCTGGGCTTTGGTTCTCTTCTGCGTTGGGCAGGTTTCTGACAGTCTCTTCTCTTTCCTGTGTTGCAGGTGTGGGCTAAGCCGGAGGCCCCGGCTTTAGACTGGACCCCACAATGTTTGCAGAGATGTTCAGGTAGCCATGGTGGGATGGCA